CAGTTCGGGATGGAACCCGATGGCTCTGCTAATCATGCACTTTCCTTCCTCTGGCCGGTGGCTGGCTGAGGGATGAACGTGTGACCCAATCTGAGCCAATGAGACAGGAAGAGAAATCTGCCAAAGGGCTTTTGGCTTCTCACTTCTAAATATGGTCTTCTTCCTCTCATGGTGGTGTCTAGAAGTGAGGCCTGGCATTGCTGCAACTATCTTGTTTGTGACCCTGAGGAGGGCCAGCCCAAGGGCCAAGTTGCCACACTAAGGATGGGGAGGCAGAAAAGGTAAAAGGATCTGGGTGCTCCACATTACCCAGCCTGGATCCTTCTGGGCCTCAGGGTTTCTGGTTACATGCCTTTTTGTTTATACCCACTTCAGTTGGGTTTTCTCATACTTGCAGCTGAACTCATCTGGAAAGTCCTCACTACTCTGCGCACTATGTTTGCAAGCATGGTGAAGATGACTTTCTTGTTGATTACTTTCTTTATACATCCTTCTATACCCTCCCAATAAATTATGCCTAGAACCTCTTAGCATAATACAAAGTCAGATTTCTTAAAAGGTATCATGTAGGTCTTCTCATACTCATGTCATAGCTCAAGCATCACACCTACAAATGAGTGCATTAGTCTGCGCAGCAATTTCTCTAACTCATTCCCACAAGAGAGATTATTCCTCCATTCCCCAGACCTTTTGTCATAAGCCATACTCCTGTCTTCCATCTTTCCATATTATTTGCACTTGAGCCGTTCACTATTGGGAACTAAACTCTTGCTATGTGCCAGGCTTAGTGTTACTCTTGTGTATCTCACTGAAATTTCTGTTTAAACCTGCTAGGCAGGTGCTGGTAATACTTTACAGAAAGGGAAACTGAGTCTCAGAGAAGTGGAGAGTAACAAGTGTAAGGTCGTGTGATTACTAATGGCCAGAATTTAAACCCATTCTACAGGCTCTGTGAGGGCAGAGATTATATGACTGTCTTTGCTGCTGCACACACCACCGGGCACAGTAGTAGGTGATAAACAAATCCTTGTCACCAGTGAATGTATGAAAGATGCCAGAGCCTGCAGTTTAATGCCTCTTTAGTTCTATACTGGCCCTTCACCCCAGGGAACCAATCCTCACCCTCCCTGCCTTGGACTAAGTGTTCAAAACCCACTGTAGACTAGGCACTCGCCTTATAAAGTCTAAAGAAGTTTATCAACCCTGAGAAATTCTTTTTATCTCTTGAATCACTCATTCAGGTTATTTACTGCCCTTGTTAACTTTCCAGGAACAAAAACCAGCTGCACTGCCCTGCCCCCCAACCACTAAAAAAAAAAATTCTAAGCAAAACTCTTGGAGCTGAGACTCTGAATTCAATCTGTTAAGCTATAAAACCTACTACTGACCTTGATGTGGAAATGGTCTCATGTCCCTAAATTGGTTAGTTTCACTGATATAGGTTACCTGAAATTACACTAATTTTCATTTTGAATCTCCTTTTTTCCCAACCACCATAATGACATAATTACCTTGTCCTAAAAAATACTTGAAATACCATCTGGTGTGGTATTCCGGGTTCTCTAAGTGCACGTCTGTTCGTCTCCAAGTACCTGGCAGAGCAGTTGCATTCTGAAACAGAGTTGAACAGAATTGTGACATTAAGAGGCTAATTCAGAAAGCAAACATGAAGCTGGCAATCAACCAGAGGACAAAGAGCCGGAAAAATCATTGGTAACGTGTATAACCAAAGGCTGTGGCCGCGTGCTTTCGTACCCCATCTGAATTTACGCTGTGGGTGTACCAGGAGGTCTTCGGGCTGAGGGAAAAGGAACCAGTGAACCAGTGAGTTCAGCTGTTTCCAACGTTAGTGTGAAGTACTTCTCCTTTCCAGTCTGAAGCTTCCACAATATTTGGGAGTTGATGCCCCCTAGAGGTACCCTCTCCTCTTTGTCACCCCTGTAATTCACCTCGAATACGTCTCTGCAGCATTTTACTCAAGTTTATGTATTTTGCAGAATTTTGAAAATTTATCATAAAAATTACCCCAACTATTGTGGGAAATATGGATGAACATGATGAGTAGTCTAAATCCCATATCCAAAGATAACTGCTATTAATATTTTGGTATGGTTCTTGTCTAAGTTTTTTCCCTATGCATAAACATAAGTATTTCTCTTAATACAATGGAACCATAGTGAATATTCAATTTTGTGGCTTATGTTTTCACTTAATAATAGTTTTTTCATGTCAATAAATATATTTCTACAATGTTAATCTTGATGGCCCTGCATTATTTTATTATATAGAGATAACTATTTAATAATACTGGGCAATCAGGCTGCTTCCATTTTTTGTTAAATAAAGTTGTGATGAATGTTTTCCAATTCCACATCTGCATACTTACTCATCCCATTATTATTATTATTATT